GTTCGTATCTTGTAATAAATTGATTAATAAACCATTCATGATATTTTCCTTCTTTAATCAAATCAACATTTTCAAGAATAATTTCCCATAAATAATTAGATATAGTATGACTATCGGTTAAACTTAATGAATATTGACTAAATATAAGTGGACCATCCGTTTGTACTTTTTCGTTATCTTCTTCGTTTTCTTCTTCTTCTTCAGTGTGTTCATTTCTATTATTAAATTCATTAATAAACTGAATTACAATTTCTATTAATTGGGGATCTTTTTGTACACAAATTTTAATTAAATCTTTAGATGGATCCCATAATCTCAATAACTTTACTTGCAACATTCCAAGAGAAAAATGAACCATCATCTCTCTTAATTCAGTACTTCCAAGAAGCGCTCTTGATTTCATATAGTCTATTCGTGCTAACATTCCTCTAATCATTGAAAGATTAATCTCAATGTCATTCATTATAGACATAATTTCTCTTGAACGTCTTTCATCTCCATTAACAAGTAAAAATCCAGCAGCACTTCTTTCAAGTGAATATTTAGATTCAAAGAATTTCATTAATTTATGTTTTGTTTCATTACTTAATTCAATTACAATTTTTCTTTGTTGTACATAATAAGCAAGAGCAAAAAGATATTGACTTGTTTTAAGATTTTTCAAATAAGTAATAATTTTATCTTCTATCGGATTATCAAAATGTGCTAAAACAACACTGGCTGGAATTGGTGATTTATCAAAATAATTAATTGCTTTGTCTTTTATATTTGTTATTAAAGAAGCAACACCAGTAGCAGCAATAAAACTACAATAATCGTCAGTTAATTCTTTTTCATTAAAACATTGTGCTAAGTCATTAATTAAAGATACTGGAAATCGTGTGAAGTGTTGAGTAAGAAGATCACAATCTTCTGTCCATAAAGTTGGAATAAACCTTAAAGGGAAATATTTATGAAGAGAGTCTATATCATTTCTTTTTATTAGTTCTTTTAATACCATTGTAAAATAGACTACTTGTTTTGTAGTTTCTGCCATTAACCTTCTTAATTCTTCATTACTTAAATACTTAATATAACAACTAACACTTTCATATAATACATCAGCAAATCTTGAATTTTCTGCTAATAACGGTATAGACTCTAAATGTTGTTCTGTAGATTTTGTACATTTAAAAGTATATTTTAAAATTTCTTCTACATCATTTTCACATGTCTCAATTGTTTTACCATAACGATACATAACCCAACGAATAACGATAGCCAATATTTTACCATAACATTCTTGATTCTTTGGTTGTTCTGGAAGTGCATTTTTTAATAAAACAAAATATTCATCAAATCCTTCTCTTTTTTGTATAGAAATTGATTTATTACAAATTAATAATGCTTGATACCATATTTCACTTGTTTGAGAAGTATCATTTATAAGTTTATCAAAATATAATTCAATATAAAATTTGTTTTTTACAATTAATTGATTCTTAACACCTTTAATATTCTCAAATAATAATGAACCAATTCCTCTAATTAAGAAATTTTTTTCTGAGACACTTAATTTACTTAAATCAGAAACAATATATAATGATATTATATTATCAACAAATTGAATAAATTCTTGAGGAGACATTTTATGAAGTAAATATACCATAGATTCACTTGCAAAAGTCCTAACATAATCTTTTTTATGACACAAGAAATAAATATAATGTTGTATAAACATATCTGAATGTTCCATAATAACAGAATGAAGATATTTAATCATAAAAGAAATAGTATTAAATATGTCATAAATAGTTGATGTGTCAGTACATCCAATTAATTTATTTTTACAATATTCTAAAATTTTAGGAATGTATGGCATAAATAAATCACGAACATCACGAATGACTTGAGTTGTAATATCTAATAATGAATGGATTGCAAGTGAGTCTTTAATTTGAAGATGAAATAATAATGTGTTCATAATATCATCAAGATTAATAATTAATAACGGTAAAGTAGTTGCACGTTGTCTCAATGAATAAAATGCATTATGAAAAGATTCTGTACGATCATCATCTTTCCATTTCATTAAAGCATCGTAAGTATAACTATGAGTATCTTCAAGGCTTTTTTGTTGTCTTTCTGAATTATAAACATCATGTATTGAAGAAACTGTCATTTCTTTGAGTAATTGTCTAAATCCTTTAAACTTAAATTCTTCTCGTTTGTGGCGAGTAAAATCATATTCATTTTCACTGTCAGAAGACATAGAGTAAATGAAATTTTCTTGTTCGTTTAAGAAACTAAACAAACCCTATTTTAATAACAAAAAAATTAATTATTTTGGGATTCTTTTGTCTTTACCAAAGTGTCGTGACAAGTTCATTATGAAGTAATTCTTCTTTATAACTTTACAGAAATATCCTGAAAGAGCATCTCCTGATTCAAAATATCGTTGGAATTTCATTATCCGAAAAAATTCAGCCATTTGTTTTCTCGTTCTCACTAATCCATAATGCCCCCATTGACGAGTTAAATAAGAAGTATTTGGTTCAGGGGGTATTTTAGAAAATGTGTATGGAGTAACTTTTTCAAAACAATAATCATCAAAGTTCGTTGAATTATAATATTCAACTAACTTTTGAATTAATTCATGACTATATGTTTGGTCATCTTCTAGATAAATAAACAAATCTGTTTTTGTTTTTTGAAATAAGTATTTAGCCATTGCATAATAATACCCATTAATAAGATAATGTTTCTTAAGTTTTGATGGTTTAACCCAATCAGGACGTTTATAAAGATAGTCTATAGCTTGATACATTTCATTTACGAAATCTTGATTATAATCCCTTTGTTTTTCATCACCTGTTATAATAAATTTTTGTACTTGTAAATGAGGATAATTATCATTAAAGTTTTTTATTGCATTATCAAATTCAGGAAAATCACACTGACATCCTTTTAACATTAATAACCTTAAATGAACATTATCAGAGTTATATTTAAGTACTTCATTTAAATCTCTTAAACTTCTTTCAAATTCTGGTCTTCTTTTAGGTGCTGCTAATAACATAAATGAAATTTCTATTGCAAAAGAAGATGTAAAAATAAAGAAAAAGAAAGGTACTAAGTGTGGTTTGTACATTTTTATTAGAATTATTATTTTTAAGTTTATTAATGAATCATCTTATTGAATTTTTATTTGATAAAGACAGAAGTAATAAAAAAAGTAAATTAGTTTAACCTTTTTTTAATGAAAATATTCTCCTTTCATTTCTTTTTAAATATGTAAATATCCTTTTAATATTATTTTATTTGAAAAAAAGCTATTTTTAAACAAACTCTCTGTTAAGAGATTTTTCAATTTCATTTTTATTATTCCATATCTAATTCTCTTTATTTCTTTTGTTGATTCCGTATTTCCTCCTTTTCAGTTAAACTTGTTTCATTTGTCTTACTAAATGTACAACTCTTTAATAATGAGTAATTAAATTACATAACTCTCTTTCTAATAAATTATTTCAATTCTTTTCATTTTGTTTTTTGTCTTGACTTAGTCTAAACAATTATTTCTAATTAAACATAAATACATTTAAAAATCTGTGTTGGTATTTATTGAATTTTTAATAGAATATAACATTTGATACTTTTATTTATTTTAAAACAACTAACTATTCTAAATTCATACTAATGAAGTAAAACTAACACATTACCATAAATAATAAAGTGTTATATGAAACAAAGAATAATTAATTGAAAAAAGCGTTATTTTAAGGTTTCAATATTCATTTTAATGACAAAATAAAAAATTATCAATAGACTAGACTAAACTCAAAGGTTTACAAAGTTTTTATAGAGTCTAGAAGGTTGTTATTAGTAATGAAGTGAATGGTTAAAATTATGTGTAAACTAAAATGAAATGAACCACAGAAATAATACACAAAAACAACCTTCAATATATTCTAAAAGTACTAACAAAAAAACTAGAGAAACAAGACATTTAACTCATTATGATAAACCATATTAATAAGCAATTTATTGAGTATTAATAGAAATAGCTTATATCGTTCCTGCATCAGTGGGAGACTAATCTCAATGAGTCTTCTTCTTTTTATCTATTATATATATATCTGATATTTTGTGGTATCGTCAATTACTTTTATGCATTATTTGTTTGTTCCATATTATCGTGAGGTCTTTATATTGGAACACTGTCTCATATGGGTTTTTTTTATATTGTTTATTTCCTGTATATTTTTTTATTAATCCCTCCTATAATAAACCAGATTAATAATTAAAGTAAATAATTAATTAATAACTTATTATATTATACCTAGAACTTTCTTTTTTTAAATGTAATAATATTACAAATAGTTCAAATTCATGTGTTAAGAATTTACAGAATATAACATGTAGAATAACACACTAAATTTATTTAACTATCTAATAAAATATACCTTTAATGATTTATTCATCAAATATAAATACTTTAATTCTTATCCTTCTAAATTATAATTATTTATTTCTTATCAATAAAATAAACTTCTATAAAAATTAATTGGTTATACTAAATGAAACAGTGAAAGAGTATGAATTAATTTTTATTTCATTTGAATTGAAGCATTACTAATCAACTTTTTTATCTTTAAGAAAATTTAAACCTAAAATTTAGGTTTTAATTATTTTTGAGAATAAAACATAAAAATTCATGTGTTTATTCATTTTATTTAAGTAATCACTTAATTATGTTCATAACAAGGAGAATATCTACAGAAAAAGATAACTTAACAAGTACTTATTTTTACAAAAAGAAAGTAGTTATTTGAAAAAAGTGAAAAGAGAGTAATAGGTAAATAAACTGAGTTTATAGGTAATAGCTTCCTTCTATAATACCAGATAAAGAAATAGATAAATAGACTATAAGTTAAAGTGTTGAGGTTTGAGTTGATGTTCGGTTTAGGTTTTAAACATAGAAAAAAACAAAAATAAAACTTAATGAACTTAGAAATTGAAGAATGGAAAATCATTTAGGAGAAAATAATATGGAAGAGATTCATCAAGAAGAAGTAAAAAAAGAAGGACTAGATGAAGAAACTTCTATGGAACTTGAGCCACAACAAATTGAAGAAGAAACAAAAGAAGAAAAGACTATGGAAGAGGATAACGTTGAAATTCAAATAATGGATGAAGCTTTCAGTAAACAACTTGAAGAAAAAGTTATTAAAGAAGAAGAGGAAAAACAAAAATCATGTCAACCACAAGAAATGAAAGATGTTGATGAAGAAGAAGATGATTTAGTTTGTTTTGTTTTTATATTATTTAGATCAAGAATTTTGTTTTACTTATTTGTTTTAGTTTAAAACACATGAATTTAAATCAAAACCATCAGGAAAAAGTATTAAGGCAAGTGTTATGGCATTTTTCTCAATGGGAGATAATACTCAAAAAACAGACACTACGTTAGAAAATCAAGAACTATACAAATTTCCTACAAATATGAGAGAACGTGCTCGTTTTATTCCATTAAGAATTACACAACCAGAAAGAAAAATGTTAAGATTATTAGAAGCAGCACTTCATGTTTCTAAATACAGTGATAAAGTTGATCAAATAAAGTTGATTGGTAAACCACAACGATTACAAGAACAATTAAAAGGAATAGCATCTTTATTAAACGGTATATTAATTGCAACACAACCAAGTGAAAAAGAAGATTATTCTGATGTATTAAATACATTTAGTCAACATGAAGATGTATTACAGGCAATATTCGAAATTGGAAGAAGGTATAAAATTATGAATCCAGACAGAATGAGAGACGATTATGCTAAACTTATTTTCATACTTCAAGATATTACTGTTAATTCTATTAATGAAGAACTTGGTGTTTCATTATTAAGACCAGTAGAAACAGTGTATCGATATCTTGAAAGAAAGGATTTATTAAAAATTCTTGATGATGAATTAATTGAAATTGCAGTAAGTGAAATTATTCCAGATAATAAGAGTAAATCCCAAATTCAAGATGAGATTAAAAGAAAAGAAAATGCTATTAAAGTTATTGCAAAGAAATATTCAACTATGAATTGTGATGAAGAAGAAATTAAACAATGCTTATATTCTATTGCAGATAATAATTGTTATCTTAGATATAATAGAGATCCTGTTGTAAAAACAATCCATTATTTAGAAAAATATTTTGATCCTAATGAAGCAAAAGAACCTAGATTCTCATTGGCTATTAATGAAGGAAATGAAGGTTCTCGTTTATCACATGATCATGCAAAACAATTCTTATTTGTGAAACAAACATTGGTATTATGGAATATTATTTTAGAAAATATGTATCAATTATGGATATTAGCAGAATTAGATTTGTTTGATCCTCAACATCCTTATGAAATGAAAAATACAGGACAAGGATATCATAGATTACAACAATCACCTAGAATTTCTTTGGTTATGCATCGAATAGTTAAAGAAATGCAAGAAAAAGTTGGTAATTGGGTTGGATCAGCACAAATTCATCTTGGAGATCATAATGTTCCAAATGCATTAGTATTTATTGACAAATATACTCAAATATCAAGATTCCTTGGACCAATTGTTACGACTTTAGAAAACTTAGAAAAAATAGGAGAAAAGAATGCACATGTAAAGAATTATATTATTAAGACCTTTGGGTCTTATGAAGAATTAAGAATGATTATTCTTACTGATTTCTTCAAACATGCATTTGATGGGAGTGGAGCAGATAACTTCTATGATGCAGGTTCTTGTATTGATGGAAGATTAACTTCAGCTTGGAATTGGTGTTCTTCTGTTGACAAAAAAGAATATTACCCAATTTTCCAATTAGCTGGTTTTACTGGATTTGATGGTGCATTTGCTTGATGTTGTGATTTCTGAATTGACTAACGATATTATCTCAAGTCTTTTAATTTCCTTCTTTTCACAGAATAATGTTATCTTCATAAGTTATTGTCTTAACATTATATTCAACATATTGTTAATTGAAAAACAATATTATTATAAATGGAAAGTGGTTTTTCTACTTTCAAGGTATTTTTCAAATAATAGGATTTTTGGTCCAAATGTTGTAGTAAATCTCATTATCAAGGTGATATTGATGAATGAAGAATTAAATTTGATTCAAATAATCAGACTGATTAATTATTGGTTATAAAGGTAAATAGTTAAGTAAAACAAAATTAGATAATATTAAGAATGGTTTTCAGATTTTCATTTGAATAATAGTAGCTGAGAAGTCTTGTTACCTAAACCATTCTAAGTAACATTAGTATTTTTATTTTTAGTTTTATTCATCTTCTGTTGTATTTTCATAATAATATTATTTGTATTGTTTTTGAGACATTATCTTTATTTTGTCATTTTGTTATTAAAATTTAATGAAATAAGTTTTTATTACTTCCAAACAATAGTTTAACAAGTTGGTAATAAAGCCATGCCTTTTTATATTTTATTTGTTTAGGTTGATGTAACAACTCATAAATTCCAAATTACTATTTTCTCTGAACATGAATATCATTAATTGCATTACTTCTTTATTATCAAGTTAGTTATATTCTTTCTTGATAAATTATAATAACTATATCTCATTAACTTGTATTCATTAATTTTTTTGACTTGAGTCGCTTGTTTTTATTGTTAATTTATTATTTTTCACTTAGTTTTAACAGTATTTATATTTTTATTCTTCATTATAAGTCTATTTAATGTATACTTTGTTTTATTCACTGTCAAAGAGTTATAATGATAACTGTCGCTAATATTTATGAATTAAATTTTAATAATTATCTTAATTAATACAATTAAATACTATAAATAATGTCATGTTCATTGTTCAATTTAACTGGATAAAAAATACATATTATTGGAATATAACACATTATGTTTTAAACTATAAATACATTTTTATTATTTTATTCAATACTCATTGAAGCATTAACTATTGACTCAATGTTATTTACAGTATTTTCAAAATAAAATCTTTTTTGGTACTTTTAAATAAAAAAGAAACAAATAAGAATTTAACTTCAAGAAGTTATGCAAAGACTGGAATAAAAATTTGCCTTGGTTCATTAGTAACGCAAGAAGCGGCTTCAATTTGATAACTGTTTTCAAGTTTAAGATGGGCATTTCCAGTCCACGTAGATTTGGTATCTGTTTTCTGTTTAGCTTGATAACAAAGGTTACTGTCAGAGAATGGAAGATAGAAATGTTTAGGATAATCTTTCCATTTATTCTGGTTACTATTTTGATAATATGAAGTAGGATATGGATGTACATAAACAAATCTTTGATTATTTGTTCCTGGGTCTAATGGTGCTTTCTTCATCCAAATAATTAGTGTTGCACCTTTAATAGCTCCTCCTCTAATATCATGTACTCTTCTTGGAATTGCAAATGATGTATACATTTTATATGGTGCAAATTCAAAGAACTGGAGTTCATTTCCCATTTTTAATGGTCTTAATAAAATATTTTGTTCATAATTTCCTTGATAAAATCTAACTGATCTTTTATCATCAAATTCCATATCCATGACATATCTAGTAGTTCCTTTTATATCATCATCATTTATAAATTGTTTTTGCGTTTCGTAATTATAATCAGAAGCAAAAATAACTCTACAACATGTTTTACACTTAGCACGAACATAATTTTCTTGATTTGCACTGAAAACTCCACTCTCAGCAAATTTTTGAATCTGATAGCTGTTTACATCACTTGTAAATTCAGAGTTAAAGTTTGTACCTTGATTGTCCATTCCATAAGGATATTTTTCTGATAATTGATTTCGTCCATCAGACGTATTTGCAATAGAATAAACTATCAATAAAAACAACGTAATCATTGATAATATTTTAGATGATTCTAGAGTTTAAGAATAAAAATGAAAACTTTTTAAAAGAACATCTTCTGTTTTGAATCAAACAAGTCCAAGTCTAATTCATTTTAATTTTTTAAAATAAGATATTTTTGACATTGTTTCGTGAAAATAACATTAAATACTGTTATACAAAATCTTGTATATCTTTAAATTCATACATTTAAATTTATTATTTTGATAAATATCTGCTAAAGTATTGGAAGTAAGATATATTTAGATTCTGTATTTTTTATTTTTGTATCCGTTGTGACGTAAGTATCCAAATATAGATATAGAACAATAATGTTAAAGGATTATTGTATACTATTTAGAATTAGTCTCTTGCCATAATGACATTTGAATGGAAGTACATTTAGTTTAGTTCAACTGTGTTGACTGTTACAGAGATATTGATAGTTTTCGTTTCAACCATTTCATTAACTCAGAAAAAAAGAAGAAAAAAAAGGTCAATTATTAGATATATCTACAATTGGATTTTCGTCATATTGAGAAGTGATTATTTTAGGTTCTACAATATGCTCTATTGGTATAGCAGAGTTTATGTCCAACACGTCTCATAAAAAAGAAGAAAACTTAAAGAAGGAAAAAG